TAATAATAATAATAATAATAATAATAATAATAATAAAAATAAAAATAAAAATAAAAAGAAACAAAACCAAAACCCCACACTACCAACCCAAGTCTGTATCTTGCCATCTGACATCCAGGAGAGTCTCCTATGAGTCTCCTAGAGACAGAGCAATCAAACTGCAAATAGAAGTGTTTAAAGTCCTCTTCATTGCAATTATTTTAATTCCATTATTCTGACATTACATAGCAGCTTTCTCCACAAGCCAGAAACAGTTCCTCACATACCAGACCAATCTTTTTCACTGCTCATTTTATTTCACAGAAGGAAACTAATGCCTGATTCAAATTCACTTGAAATCCATAAAAATACAACTATAAAACTATTTGCTCTCCTTACCATAGACATCCTGGATGAAGACCTCCTTCTGACAGGATTCACTGAAACGGGCTGGGTTTGCCTACAAAAGAAATCTTAAGGTGAAAAATGGTTCTTAACACCACCAAGACCTATTTCAAGCCTTGAAAAGTGTTCCTAAGTTCAGCTGAAATCACTCCATGCTTCTTGGAGCAAGGCCCTTTGTTAAACAGCCCTCCCGACAGACTGAAAAGGAAGCTCTGTGCATAAACCACCATCGCAGACAGGATGATCAAAATATCTCAGTTATTTCTTTGCCTCATTTCTAGGCACAAAAAGGAGACGTCCCTGAAGACCTGCAGCAGGGCAGGAAAAGCAGTGGAGTAACTGGGAACTGGTTCCAAATTTGAACCCCACACAAACCTCCTACTGTAAGCTACCTGTCCTACAAGAGCGGACACAAGGTTGTTCACAGAATGTAACCCTACAGGTGTTACAGGAACTGGAAAGCACCACAATACTGCATGAGCTTTTGTATGCTCTGATATTCAAGCTAACAGTAATAGGTTTTCCTAATTTGTTGGATCACCTCGAGGATGTAAGGCTCAGAAATCTGCCTCCCACACTACACTCCACCTGCATCTTGCAGCAGGACAGAGGTCAAAAGGCAGCAGAATAAAACAAATGCAGGAACTGCCAGATTTCAGAAATGAAGACGGTTTTTCAGCTCACCCTTTAGGAAGTGAAGGACGAGAAAGGATTGGAAAGCGTGGAAGGGAAAGAATGAGGGAAGATTTCTGAGAGCCCTCCTCAGGTGGAGAGTCCAGGGAGTCTCTAAAGACAAGGTACGGACAGAGAAAGAAAACAAAATCTGAACTTAATACAGGCATGCATGAGACAGTTTCCAGCAGCAAGAGCAGATGAGAGGGAATCTTGAGTAGAGATCATCAGAAAAGTTCTTCTGAGGACTTTTTCTATTAACAAAACCCTGTTGTGGTCAAAGGGTTGAAATCGGTAATCCTGACAGTCAGCACAGACCTACAGAACTGGCATTATCCAGACAGCAATGCACGGGTCCCACAGATGCACCACTTCTACCAGTGTTTCTTATCCCTCTCAAAAGGCAGCCAGGTTTACGAGCTTAGTGGTACGAGGTCTACCCTGTTCCAAATTAATCTTACTCTTCTAAAATAAGTTTGCATTGAACACACTGTGTTCATCTGTGGTACAAAATACCCCGTTATCTTTCCACTGGCCTCAGCAAATTTTGGACCAACCCCTTCATAGTTATCTCCTTGTGTACAGAGAAGAGGAATGGGACATTGGGGAAGCAGCTTTTTTTTAATGACAGACTATTTACTAGGTCTAATTCTCTATTCTTTGACTGAAGTAACTTAACTGAAAGCTGTAGCGGTGCAGTAGTTCAAATTCTAGCCCTTGATTTACAAGCTGGAGATCAGCCCATTTAAATTTCATTTGATGAATTGTATTACTTTGCACTGCTGCTACTTGAGCCACACGGATTCCGTGGATACCCAAAGGACCACATACCTCTCAGCTGTCAATCCAGCACATTTCAGGAGTGCTTCACATTCACTTCCCGCCCTTTTAAAGGCCTCTAGGGTGTCCTTTCAGAGCAGTTCACCCAAACCCAGGCCAAAATCCCAGTGATTCCAGTAGTTCGCAAACATTACAGCAATAGCAAGTAGCCCAGAAAGCAACTGAAGTCTGTCACATCACTGAGATCCAGCAGCAGAGGCCAAACACTATGACTTTTGGTAAGATTTCAGTGTTTAATATTGTCCTCTGTCATCTCAGAAAAGATTGAGAAAAAACCCCAAGTCATAAACTCCCAAAAAGGACAGTAAAGACATTACAGAGGCTATACAAGATTTCACGTCCCAGTGGAAGCTTCCAGGGCACCAAGAGTTCTGCTGATGTGCTCTACTTACAGGCTGCATTTGTTTAGTCTGTAAAATTTGTGTCTGGCCACACACATCCTCCACACGTATTTTGCTGTTTCCATATCTTCCTGCCAAAAAAAACAAACCCAGAATTGGCATATTAGGCCAAATACACAGATCCATCACTTGCTTTCAGACAAGCGACTGTCATTTTTAGGATTAAATTAGCATTTACTGATTTTTGTTTAATGTAACTTTATTACTGTCACCAGGTTTTCCATAAAACTGTACTTTGTGGGCCTGAACATGCAGTCTAGACTAACAACTTCATTAGATTTATGAAAATTGAAAGTAGAAGACTTGTTGAAGACACTGTCATCAGCTATAACACTAAGGTATTTTAATATATATATATTACATATATATATGTAATGCTTTAGGTTCGTCAACAGCTGCCTTCCTGTAGCAGCTGGTAGATGCTACATAACATTAATTCTGCAAGGAACACTGTGGCCCATTCCAGCAAAGCTGTAAGATCAAGTTTATCTTTAAATGTTACTGATTTAAAAAACATGCTAGAAATTTCATTGGAATGGACAAAAATGTTTATGACTGACCAGCTGAACCCAACTCATCAATGTACTCAATATGGAGTCAGATTTTCAATGCCATCCAATAGAAAGCTAACCAGAGACAGGATTATTACCTTTGACTCACTGACATTAGCAGTCTTAATTTACGTTTTTATTTACTGATGCCTTAGTGAAAAAAGAAAGGTAAAACTCTACTCACAGTTTGGAATTGGATTGTCTCCTCTTTGTTTGCCAGCTCTAAAGCGAAAAAGGATTTGTTGTGGGACATGTTGGCAATATCATGCCACCTACAGTCAAAAGGGACAGAACATGACTGGCAAGCTCTGACTTTCAGACCACAGAAAATGCAACTGAAGAACAGAACCATGTCCGCAAATATGGATAAAAAACTGAGGACAAATAAAGAATTCATCAGTCTGCCTGAACCAGTTGCAGACCTTCACTTCCATATCCATTAAATGAATGCTGAAACGAAAATATCTGTGTGACTAGAAGATGTGCAACAAGTACAGTAGTAAGTGTATCACTTGTCTTCCACATGAAATACTTTCAAGTGTTCTTTAAAAAAGCATAGACAAATTTAGTTATCAGTAAATTATAATTTCCTGACTGCTTGAAAGCCAACCATACATTCTAGGGAAAAAAATACCTACACTGAACAAAGCCATGAAGGCATTATTATACGTATTTTCTAGAACTCTCTTGCATAGTGTCAGATCAGAAAAAGTTTGAGTGCAAGGAATATAATACATACATTTATTCAACTTCTTCTTAAATACAAATGTAGTTTGATCCATAAGTATTATGTCAGTGTAAATAAAGCCTGTATCACTGCTTTATTAAAGAATATTCTGCAGTGGACTAACACAGGGAAGCAGCATGATTTACATCTAGGACTCTCTTCCATTTTCATTACACAGATGTGGCCGAGAGCATTTCCTATAGCTACTCAGCATCACATGTGTGAGGTAGAGAAACATTAAGGTAATGTCCCCATTTTGATGTAGAACAAAGATTCCCTCAAGATTTAAGGCACTGGTTTCCAGGCATTTATGGACACAATTATGACATTACTTGAAGCAATCTGAAGCATAACTCAACCTTTGTAAATTGTACAGGGGGTCATCTGTCTAGATAATTTTGCCACCCAAATACACTCTTAGAATTAATCTGTCTTAAAGAGATTCAACCTGCAGACACTGCATTGAAAAAGTCCTTCGGTATTTGCTGTAACATGACAACTACAAGGCTGTGTTCAAGTTTATCAAATGAATAAACACACATCATATCCAACAGTCACACACGTCAGTGAGGAACACACGTAAAATGTGAAGTGCACCAAGGTATTTTAAGAAAGAACAATACGAACCTAAATACAACAGGAGGACGACCATTTTTGTGTTTCACAAAGATCCCATCAAGACAAGCTCCAATGAATATGTCACTTCCTTGGCTGTCCTGTGAGAAGTTGCAAAATATTACGCAAATACATGAAGGCAAAGGTACATGAGAAGCAACTACTTGGACAATTCTGGGGGAGAAAAGGGGTGCTGTAGTTTTGGGTTTTATTGATTTTTGGCAGGAAGTAACCCTTTTCACATGGGGAATAAAAAGCAGCTGAGACAGATGAAAGGCCTGGTTACCTTCGCAGGATAGGTCTCTTCACCGTAGCCCTCCATTCTCTCTACTTCCTGCATGTACAACATTTCTGCATCAGGAGGAGTAAGGCCTCTACAAACGAAAACAACAATCACTACCACTGTCAATAAAAACTGACTGACACTGTCACAGCTTCAAAAGCACCCCCAAGACATCCAGGCAACCCACAAATGATGTTGTTTCCATCTGTACCAGTGGCTGAGAGATTTGTCTCACACTGATTCTACTAACTGCCTTCTCTCAGGCATCTCTAGGGGTAAATGGCAATAAAGAGCAGTTCTCATCTCTGCTAACGGCAGACAACTATCACACCCTTCTGCACATCTCTCACTGGCACCACATTTTCTCGCTCTATCGGAACGATTACTCTGGCACACGTTCAAGACCCGAATTTCTCCTATTGCAGTCTACATAGGACCAACAGAAGTTTGGTGCTTCACATTTCAGGAAAGGGAGCTCATTTCTTAATGCTGACTGAGTTTTAACTGTGATGGTTTGAAAACACAAGAAGGACAGGATCTGTAGGTAAAGGTAATATATTTTCCAATTAGACCAAGCAGCAAAGACAGTTTTCTCACAGACTTGCAGTAGTGTCACAGGGATAAAATGCTTGTGTTTCCCCATCTACCTCATAAAAGAGCACTGTTCTCTACTGCAACGTCCTGTCGTGCTCATTTCTACGTCTATCAGTACTTTCGCAGTCATCGAGCTCTCTGTTTCTTCACTTCTTCCTAAAGCCATGCAGATTAGGTTTGCTTTGCTGAACCTTAACCACGCAGTCTTGTTACGAAAGCATTTCAAAGGTAAATGGATTCCCAATTTCCAAACTGTTGTTTCAAAATAATGCAGGAAAAAATAATCTCAACAATAATATTCTCAATTTTCAAGCAGACTCCTCCCACTTATTTTAATGGTCATTCTGTTCTCCTTTCACTTCCATTCAGCAAAAATTCTTACGAATTTAATGCACATTTATCAGTGCAAAATTCATTTAAAGGGGAGGCAGAATCAGTCCAACTGCCTCCTGAGATTCCCCGCATCCTGAGCCACCGAAGCAAGCACATCAAAATTAAGCAGTAAGGAGTTTTAGAAACGGTACCTGTACTTCTGATGTAGCAAGGCAACTTTCTGTGTCGCTTCTTCCAGTATTTTCTCTTCTTGTAGCCAACCCTTAAGGCAAGACAGCATTTATAGAATGAAATAAAGAACATTCTAAGAAATTAAGTGGTTATAGTGTCTTTACACAGGCAGATCAACCCTCCGCTCTAGACTGGGAGCTTAGGTGCTGTAATATGCACATACCCAGAAACAAAAAGCACAGACACAGTTTTGAAGTAGTGTTACTGACTTTGCCATCTCCACCCCAACCTTCTTTTCAGTCTAACATAGAATAACATTGAGAAGATCTTGCAACATCTTTGCTTTTGTGTAATACAAGGTGTCCTATCTCACTGGAGTCTCAAAGAAAACCTTTACTGCATTTGGCAACGTAGGGAGCAGCAAGCAAGCTGGATCATGGAGTCTTTAATGACTTGCATTTATCAATCTAAAGAAAGATCCAAATGCATCAATTTAAGAATTTAAATTTATCAATCTGAAGAAAGTACTTACCACTGGAAACAAAGCAAACCTCTGTAGAAACTCCTGAGATTCATACTGATCATAGTCTCCAAAATCAGCTAAAAAAGAAAAGAAATCTTGAATCCAAACACTTGTAACGCAATAATTCAATACCCAATTAATTGCAGCAGGATTTCCAAGTGGCAAATCTCCATCCTATTGAACTACAACCTGAAAGTAAAACAATGCAACAAACTGACCAGTGATGTTTATGAAGAGGAAAAGCAAAAACACATCCCATCTTTTTGCCTTGTTCAGAAAAACCGGTAAGACTCCTTGTGGATAGGAAAGGAGAAGAAATGATAAAACAATCAGAATGCTGCTTAGTTCCTTGGGTCTTTATTTGTTTGGGTTTTAATCACAGAATGGTTGAGGTTGGAAGGAGATCCTCCAGTTTCTCCTCCCAGCCCCAAGCAGGGTCACAACAACAGATTGTCGCAGAGCCTCCTCCGGTCCAGTTTTGAATACAGGGGACAGAGACTTTACAAGTTCTCTGGCCAACCTGTTCCAGTGTCTCACCCCTCTCACAACAGATACATTTTGTTACGTGTAGATGAAGTTTCCTGTATTCAATTTGTGCCCACTGTCCAAGAAGAGTCTGGGTCCATCTTCCTCACTCCCTCCTGTCAGACACTCAATGCCTCGCAGCACAGCACGGGCAGACTGCACACAGCAGTGTTATTATGGGTATACTACCCATAATGGTGTAATTTTAGATACATTTAGGAACCAAATCTGCATTAAGCATTAACTATTAATACGCAGGTTATTTATGATGAAAGGGGAGAACTTGTGACATGCTACACCAACACAGCACTTGAGATAAAGCGGTGTTTAGAATTAGCCTGTTGTAATTATTTCAAATACAGATCATTCTTGAAACCGCTTCACTCGAAACAGCAAACAACTGCTTCTGCTCATTCACCAGCTAAAATTAACTCACCTACCTGGTATAAGCTACTTCAGTCATCGGAGCACCTTAATTTAGAACCTGCAGTTTGTCCCGAGTTGTTTTATTCACTGTGTTATCAACACATACAGTTTCTCTCTTAAACGAGACTGAAAAAGGAATGTGAAAGCTAAAAGGATAAATATTTTCCATCTGGAAAGAGGATTATATTGGAAGATTCCTATAAACAACTCACTGAGCAGAGAGACATTTACACTGTCCAAAGACATGAAAATAACAAAGCAAGATTTTGTTAGTTGAAGACCATTAAATCCTGGCTGGGATTAAACAGATCCACTGTTGTATAAACAAGGCACTGATATAATTCACCCCACTCCGCTGGGACCCCATTTCCAAAAAACATAATCATCATCTTTAATGGGATAGTACCAGCACAAATAACTTTAAAAAGTCAAAACATCTGAAGTTGTATGTACGACCAACGATTTTAAGTCCCTTTCCATTTTGGCAGATTTATAATTGCTGGTAGGTATACAGGAGTGGCATTCACTGTGAAGCAATGCACAAACACACTAAACAGAGCTGTTGCCATTAAAAACTTCTCTTTTGAGAGATTTAAGACTGAACAAGCATGGTAGAAGGGAACTCCAGTCATGGCCAGTGCAGACAGACCTAGGACTGGTGGTTCCCTGGTGTAAACTCTATCCCGCCTGACTCCAGTTAGGAAAAATGAAGCTGTTTTCCTGTAGCTATCACAGAAATGGGTCTTCAGGAGCGATATGAACATAGGAATTGTTAACAGTCTTGCTTGAAATAATCTTAGGTGTCAGGATATTTGGGAGAAAATGTGGAGATACAGGTACCAGTGTACGTTCAAATTTGCTTAGTTATTAAAACATGTCTCGTTAGCATGTCAGAATAAAGAGTCTTCATTAACAGAAACAGATGAAAGGTCTGTTGACGTAAGCAGACAAATAAAGCCTTTGACCCCAAAGGAATTCAGACATCTAAGTCAAACCCAGCTCCTGAAAATACATATCAGACACCCAGGTACCCCTCCGAGGACTGAACAGAAACACCAGCGAGTTCTGGTCTCACTGTTGCCCCTGCTCAGCCCCTGTGACAAGGTTCTAAGGAGCAAGGCTTCCAAGACC